CCGTCCAGCATCAAACGGTTAAGTTGAACGGTTTCTTCGCCGATTCAAATGTATTCTTCAAGCACACGAAAACAACAACTGGTTAGAAACCTTACAGCTCATCCTCTTAGGCATCAGAACGAGCCTAAAAGAAGATATTCAATGTTCCGTCGCTGAATTTGTATACAGTACGATATTGCATATACCGTGGGAGGTTTAAAAACACGGAGCAGTAATAATTTTTGTAAATTAAACTACGTCCTGCGATTGTCTTAATACATGCGAACACTACCTACGTTGTCAACTCGTATACTGCATCGACAGGTCACTCTCCCTCGAGAGTTATCTATCTGTCCACATGTTTTCATACGAGTATATTCGGTACGCGAAATTTTGTCAAAGCCTTACAAAGGATCTTTTCACGTGATTTCCCGTCATGAAAATACATTCAGGTTTGATCGACATGACCACATCAAGACAGTCGGCATTAATCGTCCGAAGCAGCATACGTCGATGACAGTGGCCTAAGCGATAAACCGAGACCCAATGCTAAACTCATCATACTTACTAACGGGATCCTTTCGTCTACTTCGAACCCCACCTTAGATATACCAGAGGCCTCATTCTCACGTTCCAATCAACGGCAAGTGTCACCTGTACCCTGTAAGGATGAGACTCCGGTCTCAGGTCCAGATCAGCAGGTCACGCCGCCCTCGATTTCGAATGAGACTGCAGTCTCACGAAGTACGTACGAGACTACCGTCTGACATCCCGGTCGCCGAGTACACCTACCTGTACGCTTTAGCGACTGACCTCCCAATCAACAATGGATGCGGTTTGGACTCCATCCACATACTACATGTATGCTACACCTTTTTCTTTTTCTGCAGCCTTTTCTGGTCCGGACCAATATGAACACAACCTGCAAATTCTAGATACAAACCACTCTCGTGCGGTACACCAACTCGAGCAACAAATTTGGCAAGTTACCCCTAGTACCGTTCTATGTAGGAAACCTTGATGAAAACTTGAGCATCTTGGACCGCCTCCTGTTCGTCAAACACTCCAGCCTACTATCGCACGTTTGCCGACCACTCCCGCGAAAGAGACCGCTACGTATCGAAAGTTTAAACACTCTGTAGCGCCGGATCGTTGCAGCGATATACTATTATGACCAGAACGAGGTTGGTGTAATAGAAACATATATTATTATAACCAATTTACCCGTGATTGTTTAACTGTACCATTTTGTTTATCTGTAACAAAACCCCAGTCCTCCGTTGTCCGTGACCTTCAGATTGCGCACGTACGCACGGTAGTCTCGCCTGTACGGGTTGGCACGATCTCGGTATTAATTCGATGCCGCGAGATCACCAACAAATGTATCCTAATTACGATCTCTAACTGTCCTTCTAATATTGATTTTACGGAGGAATCTAACCTAGTAATTGTCCTGTAGTAGTGATCACAGTCAACTGAGACTCGTCTTTACACTTGGGACTCTGCAAACGCTGCTTAATACAGAACAGCTTCAGTTATTTCATGCGTTCTCAAGGTTGTAAAAATAAGGATCTCTGAGTAGTTATTATAAAAATTTTAACTCGAAGTGAAAATACAGTTTCCTAACAAATAGGTTCTGTGTAACTTGCCACTTTGAGCTCTTCGATTACACAATACTGTGTAGCGAATTATGCGAAACGGAAATAATCCTTCATTTTAACATATCTAGGTCATTCGATAAGGTATCCAATAGTATATTACACGATAAATTATATTCCATGGGAATCCACAACACCTTACTTAGCTGACCTAAATTAATCTTAGACGATCGGTGTCAAATTACTAGAGTAAACCTAAGTAGGTAAATCGTGGGACTACACAAGGGAGTGTGCGAGGCCCTCTTTAATTCCTAATGTACATAAAAAGCATTTGTAGTTTTCGTCACGTTCTCCGATTATCCTTAGGTAGTCTATCCACGAAACAGAGACGAAATGTCCAACATCGCCTATTTTACTCAACAAGAATTGGACATGAAAGTCTGGCCATAAATGAACAAACATTACTTGGTTACAGGCATGTGTCATTCAGTCAATTGCAACATAGAACTTCGTACGTATGTACATAAGTTCATGTTGCCATAACACATTAGCACAAAGACACATGTCAAATCAAATTCCATAGTGATAAAGATAGTAGAGATATTAATGGCAGTGAAAAAGACTAAGGTTGGAAGATATTATTCAAGAAGTATAATTCAGTGAGATAAGGTTAAAAAGACGAAGGTAGAGGTGTTGTGTTCCCGGACCTGTCGTAGTGTGAAAATGTGGTCTATACAACCACGTCCAGGTCGAAAACCAGACTGATTTTCTCTAGTCTGCTCTTCACGGGCTTTCGTTAAGCGCCGAAGTATTATTGAGGCCAAAATTTTAGAAACTATTTTAGTTAGACTGATTATCCTGTGATTGTCACAAGAAGACTTCTGTCCTTTCTTATAGATTGGGACAATCAGTGATTGAGACCAGTCAGATGGGATTACGTCCAGTTCCCAGATTCTATCTAAGATCTCAATCAACCTAGCTGCTAAAACTGGACCACCATCCTTAAATATCTCAGGGATCAGTCTATCAGGACCTGCAGCTCGTCCTCGCTTCAGATTTACTAACGCTTTTTCAACTTATAGAGAGTCGGGGGACTTACGTCGATTTGCCATTCAGATCGTGGGTAACCGAAGAGTGGCTGAAGGCCAGTTGAACTGATCCCCAAAGTGTTCTGCCCATCGATCCAGTCTCCTGGATTGAGAATAAATAATAGTCCCATCCTTTTTACCAGAGAGCCTCACTTAAGCTAGGATTCCTAATGCCAGTTTCCTTGATAAGTCGGAAAAGTTGTCTACTGTTGCCTATCGCCGCTGCCTTTTCCATCGCTTTTGCTTTCGCTACCCGCCACTGTTCACGGTCGTTACGTAGGCTTATTATCAGTCTGCGCCTAAGCTGACTACGCTCTTCATCATGTTCAGAGTCAGGTGGGATGCGTTTTCGAGCATCCATCAGTTCGGTGGGTGCTACAGAGATCCATGGCTTCATCCTAGCCTTATGGTTTACCTTGCTAGCAGATATCACTGCTGTTTCCACAATCTTTTTGATACCATTCCAAGCTGCCTCCGGATTGGAATCGCTTACATAGTTGCATCTCTTTCTAGTTGCTCCTGCAATATATTCTTAGCTTTATTATCATGAGGTAAAACCCTAAGATGCTTTCTTACAGTGTCTTTCCTACGCCTAGTAAGCCTCAAACAAATACGCGCTCGCACTAGGGCATGATCTGAATCTAAACATGTGCCCCAGAACGAGCGACAGTCCTATATCGAACCCCTCCATCGGTGGCTGATGGCAATGTGATCTAGTTGCGTCCAACTTTGAGACGACTTCGGAGGTCGCCAGGTCAGCGGATGCTTTTCCTTATGCCTAAAGTTAGTGTTTGCTAAGAATAGGCGGTTACCTGAGCATATTTGCAACAGACGGTCACCAGTGTCTGTTCTCTGAGCAGCGACACCATAACATCCACCTAGGTGTCTTTCCTTTGCACTTAGTCTACCTACTTGAGCATTAAAGTCACCAGCCATCATTACTACATCAGAGCGCCTAGCTTTTTGGAAGAGGTCCGAAAGCTTTCTGTAAAACCCATCTTCCACCTCGTCTGAACTGCAGTCAGTGGGGACATAGGCAGATGCGACGAAGAGGCAACGACGAGTGTCCCTATCCTTCCTAGTCTTTACTGTCCCGTTTAGTCGGACAGCTCACAAGATGAAATCAGATTAATAATTTTACTAGGATCCCGTATGCGCGTTTCCGAGACGCAGCATACATCGATGGCACGAGATTCTAAAGTCCTAGCTAATGATGCCTGTTGCCTTATTTGACACAATGTCCGTACAATAAAAGCTCCAACATATAGTCTAGAACGGGGTTTCAGGAGACCAGGAATGACGTTTCGTGAACTCGCATCGTTTGCATTAGCGGTGCAGTCAGATAAGGGAATGTGAGTAGAGTTAGTTGTGAAGAGAAGAGAGGTATGTTTGGGTGTAGGAAGGATTTGATTACGACCAATTTGGTCTCTCGTGCTGTTACGGGCATGAGGGCGGTTGTCACTTCCCGGCTGCCCACACCATGTAAGGTTGTTTCTTGAGGGACCTGAAAAGGAAGGTAGATTAGTTTTGGTCTTAGAGACCTGGGAGCGTGACCCTCTGCAGTCAGCAGTACGACTTCGCCCTCAGACCTTGGGTAGCTGCTTTTAGTCTCATCGCTCTCCAATCGACTTGCCTGGCATGGTAGAACCTCCAGGAACATAAGTTCCAGCCAATATTGCTCGGTTGGGTCATCACGATAGGCAAGCCCGACCACCACGTCAAGGTAGTAGCTTCGGTCGGGTACAGACATGTGTACCTGCATGCGTATTGGATGCAGCAGCAGCCGCAGTTTATCAGACCCCGTGGTAAAATTTTGAAATATCACGTCGACTCACAAGCCGCTGTCTTTGGTTGTGGTCTGATTCTTTCTCTCCATTATTGGGTTTAAGAAACCTGGATATATACTCCCAAAACCCAATCGCTTGAGTTAACAGGTGGCAGTTGTACAGGGAATCGCAACCTATCCCGAATTATTTTCTAGTTTTAAATGCAATGACGGCCAGACCTGATATATAGATTTCCTTACATAAATAAGGGACGATATATAGCCTGAGAAAGTTCAATATATGAAAGAAGCATGTAAAACTGCACTATGTATTGTGCTAGAATGGTGTCCGATAAGGATGACAGCAACCACTGAAAACACCAGGCCAAGATGAATTACCAAGACAATGTAAAAGTTCTTCCCAGATGAGGTTAGTAGTAAATATTGAAAGCAGTGCTTCTCAATGAAGTCAGATTACCCTAAGACGGAGCATTAATATTCACTGCAAAATACAAGTTGGGAAAATCAACTAGAGCACAACACAATGTGATACCCAACTCCTCTTCCATAATGTTGTATGTAATGAAAATTTCCGCCAAATTAGTTCCATAAAAGAGAAGGCTAATTTGATGAACAGGGGAATAAAATCTAAGCACAAAACACACATCGATACATAAATGAAAGACACATATGCATTCTTGAAATCTGTATATTGTCCAAAAACAAACGTAGATTAACTCTAATTAATACACCCAAGAAATTAATTTCAAGAATTCAAATCAATAGGTAAAAAACAAATGATACAGGAACAAAACATAACAATTGTTATTGTATTAGTCATGTGAAAAGGCGAACTATACTGATTAGGAACAAATAAAACCATGTAAGTAATTTTTTACATGTGTTCACTGAGATGAGGTGGCAGCATTTTGAACAAAATTTATGGAATAACCTTCTGATTCAGGATTCTTCTGTACTTTGAAATTGTCCGTTGAGAGACCAAAGGGTTTTAGGATCAGATTACCTAATTGCTTTAACTGACCTAACATTTCCTCCTTCATTTTTTCATTCTGAATTTGAATACGCTCCGGCAGAGTCTACAAATACAGATAACAATAATGAGTTTCAATATAAAGAGAAGTATTTATTATTTATTATATAGTTTGCACTATATAATAAAGCATACGTAATGAAATGAGTTGAAGTGAACTAGCCATTTATACATACCTGATACTGATTAGAATCAAACTAGTAAATCCATTCTCTCGACCTCCTCAACTTACAAAAAGTAATTAACTTTAACATGATATCGATTCGAAAAGTTTACCTTTTTAAGATGAGCTTAATGAGATGGATTCACCAGGTGGTTTATTTCATGGAAATTGAGAGTAATAACTGGCTGCTGAGAAAAAAATGGATAGCACTAACTATGAACGCCGACCTATTTATTTATTCAAATATGCAAATACTGGTACGAAGGAGCACCGAAATATTTATGTGCTACACAAATTCAGTGATATTTGTGGGCTGAGATACTGTCCAGGTGTCCAAACCGAAGCAGCACGTTTTCTTGGAGGACCACTCTCCCAGCCTTTGATCAGGTTTCATCAACAAGGCATTGGAGCAATGTCTGGAGGTGCAATCTTATGGTAGCCGGTGACCACCGATATATTGATACAACGTTTGTTTCATCACGATCCTGGAGGTCAAGTGCGTCAGTGGTTTCGAATATATATGTATGTATATATATGAACTAGGATAAATGTGATGCAAAATGGTGAGATATTTTCAGTTGCTCAACTCTACTTTCAGAGGAATAAAAGATAAAATAATAAGTACTTATCAAGTAGCTTATAAAAATGGTCACAAAACAACTTTGGAAACTGTGAGAAGCTAAATTTTTCAGCTCGAACACTTTCATAAACTCAACAGTTTGGTGCTAAATTCATAACATACATATTATCAGTTCTGCTATTTACAACACAGTGGACAAATAAACAGTTTCAAAAAACGTAACCTGATATGATAAAGTTAAATCTAAGTAATTTTTTATGTCATTAAAGATGATGGAGCTTTTGTGCAAAGATTAATATAATAATGGCAATTAATATTCACTTTAGACACAAACGTTAGATCTGTGAAATATCCAGTTCTTTGACACCACTTGAAGTAAAGAACTGTCATCGGAATTCTCTACATCAAGTGGTGTCCGTCAGGGATGTCCACTTTCTCCATTCTTGTTCAATTTCGTCACAGACATGCTCCTAGATATAACTTTATCCTCGTCTGAATTTTCAGGAGTAGACTTTTTACCAGGTGGCTCGCTTAGTGACTTAGAATATGCCGATGACATAGTCCTACTTGGTGAAGATGCTGACAAAATGCAGAGTCTTCTGACTGCCCTAAGCAACAATGCAAGCATGTTCGGGATGCGGTTCTCACCCTCGAAATGCAAAATGTTGCTTCAAGATTGGGTTACATCGGCACCTGAACTAGTGATAGGGAGTGAAGTAGTCGAACGTGTAGACCGCTTCACTTATCTCGGGAGTCTCATCAGTGCTGATGGCCAGGTGACTGACGAAATCTCAGCGCGGATATAGAAGGCTCGATTAGCTTTTGCCAACCAGCGTCAGTTATGGCGAAGGCGAGATATCCGTTTGCTGACTAAAGGACGAGTGTACTGCACAGCAGTTCGCTCCGTCTTACTTTATGGATGTGAAACATGGCCAGTGAGAGTAGAAGATATTCGTAGGTTACTGGTTTTCGATCATAGGTGTCTTCAAAGCATTGCTCGTATATCGTGGGTAACCCGAGTGAGCAACGCTGTTATTAGGAAAGGGGTGCTAGGTAAGAATGGCAGATCAATGGATGAGATATTGAAACTTCATCAGTTGAGGTGGTTGGGACATGTATTACGTATGGCTGACCACCGACTTCCTCGACGAGCTATGGTTTGTAGTGGAGGAGTAGGTCGGAAGAAAGCTAGTGGCGGCCAAACCAAAACATGACAGAAATGCATGAAGTCACGGACAAGTGGACTGAATCATATCGATAGATGTCGACTACCTGGTTGGTTGGGGTCCGCGAGATGTTAGTAATCGATGGTTAGATACACTGAATCACATGGCTCAAAACCGTTTGCAATGGCGCCGGTGCATTCATTCTTTGTTCTCTCAAATCCTAGACTTTTTAATTCTTCAACAATTTATCTTTATCTTTTTAAGTCTATTTCACTAGCTCCTACTTCTTGAATAATACATTTTAATCCTAACCTATCCGATTACTCTAATACTACTAATACTACTATTGGATTTGAATTGAAAATTACATCTCCGTGCTAATGTGGTATGGTAACATGAACTAATATACGTACGTACGAAGTTCTACGTTGCTATTGATTAACTGATTGTGAAATAACGAAGATGACATGCTTTAATATAGAACAGTGAACGAGAAAGAAGATTGACGGTAATCAGAAATGGAGGTCAAAAGAAACTAATGTGACTGAGGAAAAAAGTATGCAATCCAATTATGTTCGGGACTCAGAAGAGGATAAAGAGTAAAACCATTTGCGTCATTATGTTTCAGTTAGAAGTTAAGGCTTATGAGTCAATAAATTAACACTACCTCGCATATTACAACCAGAAATTTCGAACATTTTTTACACACAAACAAGACTAACACTTGATGACTTGGTGAGCAGATGCTAATATTTGGTTTGCACGCAGAAAACATTTGGAAAGGTGTAGTTAAAATACTGAATTCGTTCACTTCTGAAAAGAAATCGAATAACAGTTACCTACCAGTTAAACATACATCTTTTGATTAGTTTGAAATCTTTACCAACATACATAATCACACATAATGTCTAGGTCACTACAATTTTTTTAGTCTAATCATCATAAAAAAGTCAGTGGAGATAGTAAAAGTAGTACAAAATAATAATTGAAAAATCGTCAACATTAGTAGCAAGCTTACAGAACATGCATGACGAGCTTTTTGGTTACTTGGGTCTAACTGCAAAATTTTTTTATAATCTTCGAGTGCATCTGACAGTCTGTCCTTACTTTCAAACAAAGTAGCACGTCGCTCCAGGCATTTCGCGTAGTCCGGTTGTAAATTCAATGATTCGTTGCAGTCCAAGATTGCTGCTTCGGGAGAATCCTACTTTTTAAAGAAATATTTTAGCTAAGTTAACACATAGTTTTACGTGTTAGATGCTTTGACTTGTTAATAAAAATGACTAATAGATAAGATCAACTCACTTAGATTTATGATATATTAAACGAACCACGTATATTCCTCCAACCTTAAATCTGTTTTGTCACACATGGACTTTACCCTTAATGACTTATTCGAAACGATTGGTCACATGCTTCTGACCCAAAATACCTCGAAAGATTAAAACATCAGAGTTCAAACTTCTACTATAATTAATTCTTTTTTTTCAAAACCAAAATATCTAGGTAGCTGACGTTTACATTTTGCTATGAGAATGAAAATTGTAAACAGATTTCTTGTGCATTTAATGTGCCTATCTGTCTATCAGATTGCTGCATACTCAGAACTATCTTAAATAACGTTCTAGAATTTCCCTGATTTTCTTCAAACATCTACATTAACTACAAAAAATACAATGTGGTGCGACCATACTGTAAAAAAGAACCAATCAATCATAACAATAACTCCACAATGCACATATGAAGACAAAATGGTTAGTATAATCAAGTCAGTGTGTTATTTTTATTAAAATATCGTTTTAAATTATCTAAAAAATGTCGGGTCGATTTAATTAGCCCTATAATATGATTGTGGAACGAGGCGACTTTTTCTTCGTCTGTGATTGCTTTTAGGAACATAAAATAGGATCCTCTGTAACCCGTAATAGCAAACGAGACCGAATTGGTTACAATCAAATTCTTCCTACACCCCTTAACATTTCTCTTATCTCCTCACTGAACTACACTTCTTGAATAATATCTTCCAACCCTAGTCTTCATTGCCATTAATACCTCTACTATCTTTATCACTATGGGATTCTATTTGACATTTGCGTCTCTGTGCTAATGTGGTATGGCAACATGAACTTGTGTACATACGTACGAAGTTCTACGTTGCAACTGACTGATTGACTGACGACTAGACCTTCTCACACCCCTTTATCACCCCGCATAGTTAGTGAAAACGACTCGAGTCCATGAAACATTATTCCTGGTCTCTATGCGACCTTAAAGTTATTGTCTAGTTACAGTTTGGGGGGATTGGACATCACGTGTTTAAACAAATAAAACAGAACCTAATATGGGAATCCTTGAAAAGCTATAGGCTGAAAAGGCAAAACGATATGCTGCATTGACAAGAACATTTTGATAACCTAAGAAAATATACCATTTATGCCATACACATTTTAATATACTTTCTTCATGAGTGATTCACTCGCAACTTCTACTAAACAGGCTAACAATTGTTGCTTCAAGGTGGTCATATGGTATGTTTACACAAGTAATGGTGAAACTGTTCAAGCCCGAAGTTTGAACCCATACTCACCAACTTCAGTTGGAGACTGATTTATATCATTAGTTCTCATATAGCGGGTTAAAGCTGAATACATAAATCTACAATTAATACATAAATTCTATAAAATCTCAGACTTTGTGTATGTTATGGATTATAAGAACACAAGCTTTTGGAGACTGATGATTGATACGAGTAGCCTAGTAGATAGTTAAGTACCCTTTCCGAAAATTATCACTATCCTGTCTGACACTTCCACAGACATTCCCCCATCTTTGACACCTAGTTTTTTTGGCAAAACCTCACTGACATTTAAAAGAAATGCGGCATTATTCACAAAATGACTATGATAAATCCCCTTGATAAAAAGTTAAGCCATTGCCATATTACAATAATTAAACGAGTTGCAGAGTCTGTAATAACTACAAGAAAACCGACATCGATAAGGCAAGAACAGAGCCAAATTGTTATAAAAAGACAGATAACTAACCAACTTTATATGACATGCAGCTCTATTGGCAAAAATCACGGAGCGTTCAACGCAACATTTTAAAGGGCAAAGTTCAAGAGCTTCCGTGTATTTCGTCAAAGCCTCACCAAAAAAACCGGACTTGAAGAGCAAATTTCCTTCATCTTTTGTGGCTACTGCAATATCTCTTCGTTCCTAAGCAAAATATTATAACAGTTAAATGCAGACCTCAATCTCCTGGACGCTTAGTGATTCTTCTAATTTCTTATCTTCGATTGATTTATCTTTGGCTTCATCATGCTCGAAGGATGTGTTAAAATTTTCAGGCTCTTTAAAATCTGCAGAGGATTTTGGCGATGAACTTGGGGAGAAATCCTGGGCATCAACAAACTCATCCGAGCAGGAGGACATGTGACCTTCCGCCTTGAAACGCGCCAAGGTTCTATCTTCCAATAACACTATCACGAGCTATTATCGACCTATTGATTTCTTAGCGCTTGCCTCTTATCCTTTCAGCAAGGTTACAGGCATTGAGTGGATAGCAATACGGGCACTCGACTCCAGTAATTCTAGTCAGTAGACAGTAAATGAATATCCAATATCTTTTTCACGAGCTAGAATATACCAATTGATTTATTTGCGCTCGATTCTTGTTCTTTCGGTTCGGTCCCAGGTGTTTTTTAGTGTTCTTTGAATGGGTTCCAGCCACTCAACTGTTTAATTCTAGTCAGTTGCTAGTTGGTTGTGATTTTAATGAATACATTTGTTTCAGGGCAGTAGGGATTCTGGAATCAAGCAGCCATCACATTACCAGACCGGAGATCAGTTGGTTGCAACGTAAACGATAATAAGGATGAAATTCGAATTCTTATAAGAGTAAGATTCCAGAACTAATTAGATCAAAAGATAATTTAGTTTATCGATTGGCGGGAGGATGACAGTATAAGCAAGGGAGAGGAAACAGAGATAGTAGGCGAGATAGACTAAGTCTGTGGTCTGAGGAGATGGCAATGATAACAACTATCAGGCCTCAAGATATGCACCAGGCACAGCTTTTCCAAGAGGGAGATGATAATCCGTATGTGAGTATGTGATTATCAAGTCTCTTCCTAAAGCAGTCTTCTGAGGGGATTGTCCCAGCAGCGGGAACTAGTAAACGCTACACGTTGGATAGATGCCGTACCCATTCCAGACCAGTGGGCAAGAACAATGACGGAAGTGGTAATCCGGCATATTGTAGCGTGTCACGGAATACGGAAGGTGACATTAAATGACCAGCGTCCCTGTTTTGAAAGTGACGAGTTTAAAGCCCGTCTAAAGCAGTTTGGCATCAGGAGGATATGAATAACACCGTATCATCCTCAGACAAACGGGCTTACAGAGAGAAACAACCGGACGTTAGAGGAATGGTTAGAATCTAAAGGAGGAGATTGGGAGATAGAGTTACCATTGATTTTGCTGATCCCAAAATGTGAAGGACCGTACGTTATCACGGAGAGACGCGGCGCGGTTTACACGATCCGGAGAGAAGACAAGCAGAAGCGCGTAAGTGCTAGTCAACTGCTGAGATGGTTTCAAGATTATCAAGTGTATGTGTCACGAAAAGCACCAAAGATGACAACGGTACGGCAATCAGAAAGACTACGACGAGAGCTTATTAAAAGCGGGGATGAGTGTGGTGCGCGCTACTTATAAGTAGTATATGACTCGAGTGTAAACGTAATGTCTGGCAGCAGAAGATGGGGGAAGATCAAGAAAGGAAGAGTGGGAACACAATGGAATTTGTATGAAGCGCATGAATAGTGAACTGTCAGACAATGGATTGATGATGGATTGAAGATTTGCAAATTAACGGTTACGATATGGTGTTCCTATTTTACTGAGTAACTCTGTAATTTTCGTCGAATACAATTCGGTTGCCCTCACCTGTGTTCTACTTCAATACATGGGCAACTAATCGCATGAACAGAGGAAATTCAGAAGAACCAAATTGTTAGCAATAATGTTGATGTACACAATATAATAATGAGGCACAGTGATCTGATGCTTTTTTGATATTTTATTTATTCATTTTCTTTTTAACTCTGTGGCTCAAGAAGTCATGAGTGAGCTCTTTTTCAGTATAACTGTCCAGATCTGCTTGTAAATGTATTTCTACAGTGGCCGTCCCAATTGGTTCCAATAGAGGCACTCCTGTACGCTTTCCCCAGTTCCGGGTCCCAACCAATTCAAAAAGGACAAAATTCTAGGAGAAAACGTCTCTGTATTAGTTAAAAAATGGAAATACAAAGCATTACGGAAATAGTGCTTCTTCCAGGGTAAAGTTACTCCGCAGAGTATCAGACACAATAACAAATAAGTGACGCTAAGTCCAGCGGCCACTGCGTCCGTCCAAAAATGTGGCGGTAGCCATATTATATCAAATTTAAACAACATATGTACAGTTCAGAAGCAAACACAAAAACTTCAATATAAGTACAAAATATAGAAAGAATAACAATATACAATGATAAAATCTCAAATTGGAATCAAATAAAGTACCAAAAATGTCAACAGAAAAAGTCCGTCATGTCATAGCAAAAATATGTAAACATGGAGGGATTTTCCAAAACACAAAACATTCAAAAAGAATGCTACACTGCTTGTAATAGCATTTCTTGGTAGGAATTTCAAACCAGTGCAAGGTTACGAACATGAGTCGTAGACGAGGTTAACAAGGAAAAGTAACATCAATATCATTGATTAGTTACATCCTGCTAAATCGTAAGGAGCCGTAATCAAACAAAATGTTCTGTCCCACAGACATGGGTAGACTGAAGTTATCGCCCCACCATCATGAATGCTGGTCAGAAACACCACCCTCCCTTCTTTTGTGATGTTAGGCTCTCCTAGGTTTAATGGTAGATTTTAAACAGTTTTTTGAGTCCATGTTCTATTTTTTATACACCTTGTCGGAAACAGGTGAAAATGCTATGACCTGCACCTCGGAGTCTATTGTTATAGCTTTCCACCGTTTTGAAACTTTGATGCAAGTATAATATACATTAAAGGACATTAATAATCGTATCGCAACTTGATAAAAATAAGGATAGATGAATAATAGACTCAACGGAATTGATATCTTTCGATAAAACGTCAGCTCACCAATTTTAGTGGTGACCTAGTCGAGATTGACTATGATCACCACTAAATACTAATTACTAGCTCGTCAATGAAGTTTAAGTAAATCCAGGGTAAAGAATATATCTTAATGATAAAGTGGGCGATGTAAATAATTATGTCAGCAACGCAAAACAGAAAGTTGCGCGTAAGTACGCGTTTTTAGTACAGTTAAACTAAAGGAGTACAATAATAAATATTTCCTTTTCACCAATTGTGTTTTCTTCGTACAAGTATTCCACTACAAACTATCGATTCTAGAACATTCAACTAGAAAAATGTAGGTCAATCCAACTTATAATTGGCAATCGTAATAATCATAGAATAACAGTTAAACAAGTGTGATTTCAATTTACGAATCACACCTGCCCCGTAGTAATGAACTATTTTACACACATTATCAGTTCTCAGTCCCTGAACCTGTCTTCCAATAGTATTTAAAAAAAGACATAATTGACTACTAATATGAAAGCCAATAATTTGTGCAGTGATTAACATTTAATAATTATGTACATTCAAGTTCGAATGCACTTATAGTCATAGATAATTTAAGCGAAATATGTGCACCTTGACATACTAAGCATGTATTTCGATAACACTTAAACCAATCAATATTTTTTAGATATTGATGACTACATCCTCAAAATTTACCATTAGGGGTAGAGAAAAGAAATCACACTTGCTTTAATGTCAACCATAACCACGGATTCTAAAACGTTTGGAAAACTATCTGTCATTGCATCACAGAAAAAAGCTAAAGATTGTCTAGAATGCATTGACTCTTGGTGCTTATCGCATAATCTCGGAAATGCTCCCTCTTTAAATTTAATTAGAAAAAAATCTTCTAGTTTGCTAAAAAACTTTGCACATCCTGCCCACAAAACCAATCACTTTTGAAATAGGGCTTTTATGAGCGCAATCAATCAATTATCTGGTTTCAGATAGGCTCATGAATCAGGTTAAGGAATTAGGCCAAGAAGTTACTGTTTTCATCCCAAACTGACTTCATCTATAATGACAGAATACTGCTTAGTTAACGGATAAATGAAATTTGCGTCACAATTCAGGAGGTACTCTCTGAAATCTGACTGTATTATTCAAAACTTGTGGTCCAACTTAAAATTATTTGAACTGGTAAAACGACACTAATATCAACGTGTATATAAGCTATAATTTAACTATGTGAACTTAAGCCTGCTGGGTCTTCAAAACGTTTTTATGATCTTCCAAAGAGACATAGGTTGTAGAGTACTGTTGTGTTCTTTACACGAACCACTATACAGATGAAATTCGATTTGTCAGTATGCAACAAGGACGAGAGACTTGTTACTCTTTGATGTAACGCCGACCCAGTACTAACTTGCCCAACTGAAGAGTAAAAACGAAAACCAATGACCACCAGTCCAAGATTTGTTACTAAATTTCAAACATTTGTTTATATACACACAAAAACAGGCTATATAGCACCAATAAATGGGGATAATTAAGCATCATGAATGAGATAAAAGTGGATATGAGTAGGGAAACTACGAATTACAAACTACCAACAGATTGGGAATAATCAACCATATAACTAAAGTTAATGAGTCATTCAGGAGCTCAGGATACACAGAGCATATACAGATGATAATCTAGTTACTTATTGATTAAACAATTTGGCTGTATACAATATCAATCCATAAACTGGGTTCTTAAGTTACCATTTGCTTTGGTCTTCACCCGTGTATAACAGGTAGCTTCAGCACCGTCGCCATTTAATATGACAGAGTAGATTTTCATGGCGATCAGAAGAATATGTTACACTGATGGGACGCATATAAACAAATATATGATTGTTTTTCTCAGCGATTCACTTCATGCAGAGCCGCAGAAATATCAGAAGATAGAATGAAATATTTAAATGTGGGTTGTGGAGATTATTGAGTTTCATTGAAATCATGAACTGATCAATGTTCTCCGCAACTCTGTACCGAAAAACTATTATGTGATCACTAGTGATTAACTTCAATCATGAGTTCTTGGAGTTTTAGTTAGACACCATGACCAGTGGAGTTGAACCGTATTGGGTGTGGGGCACTTACCCACTGGTAACAATGGGTAATGGTCTCGAGATATCGTGTATCGGCTCAAGTTGGACAGTAACACCTTTGGATGCCGTCTCAGTGGTCAACAGGCTAAGCATTTGCCTGCGAGACCGAGGGTCCTGGGTCCGATTTCCGCGTGCGGAGGTCACAGGTGTGCATTCCAGATGAGTCCCATACTAGGACAAAACGAATGTCCAGTGCTTCCAGGTTTCCACTAG